ACCAGGAAACTGGGTCACATAGGTCTTGTTAGGCTCCCTGGCTGGGGACCTCGGGATGATTGTAACCGATGGTTAGAGCGATATGGCTGGGTGTCGTAAACAGTGGCGTTCGTGCATCTCCTCAATTTCTTCCCAACCTTAGACCACGGAACTTCTCCATTTTCTTTCCGAATCTACTTTCAACTTTCCTTTCTTCTCCTATTCTTCATCCCAATGGGCAGTCAAAAGACATCAACCAAAACCGGCGCACGAAAGTGCATGGTTAATGGTTGTTCAAACTAAAAAAAATGAATTGTTAGAGTACTGTTGACTTCACAGGCTTTCAAAACCTTCACTATGGTCAAGGGTGGGTGTCTAGATTTGCTGCTGGTCACCCTTCCCTTGCACCTCGTGAAATGCTCCCATACAACCAAGCGTCTCAAATAGCCTCTACTGAGGAAGCCCTACTCACTGCCTTCTCGTGACGGAGGTGTTTCCCACCAAAGTGAGAGGACGAACAGACGACATCTGGGGGTAATAACCGGGTTGGTGAACCACTGGCAGTTCACCTAGGGAAGTTATCCAAAAACCCTGATTCCAAACCAACGAAGAAAAAGAGTACGAACTACATGCACACCTTCCTCGTTGTGGCAGTGGTCACCGGCTCCATTGGGAATCGAGGTGTATTAGGCACCTTGGACGCTTGCTCCTTCCAAAGGGCGTATAATCTAATGAACTGGACACTTGCCCTCAATGGATTGCGGTTTTCGCACACCGCTCCGCTGCCTTGTGGGTCAGGCTTTGGCTGTCCAAAGGCTCTGGTTTTGGATTCCTCAGAAAAATTCGCCTGCGTTGGTCTGGGCAACCTGGCAGTATTCCGCCCACATGCAACTCATGGAACGTTTTTCTTTTTCATAGAGATTATTGTACCATGATTTGTTTGGCTCACATTCTGGATTCAGGTGTGTGGGAAAATATAATATATACAATTAGTAACCGACTTCACGCTATAGTTCTCAACGGTTCAGTACGGGTAAACAGCTACGCAATGAACGCTCGTGGAACCTTTCCTTCGGATGCCAAATGTGACACAGCGCGCAAACCCCTCAAACACCCACTCATCGAGGCTCAGAGGAATGACTGCGAGAAGTGATAAGCAGTAAAATTTTGAGATAAAAAGACTGCGACTGTAAATAAAAATGTCGGCTCAAAGAAAGCAGGTGTGAGTGAGGTAATTAGGGAATCCGATGCCATACAGATTCATCATCAGTAACGCCGTCGTGGTCGATGGACAAAGCATTTCAAGACAGTTCCACTCACCCTCATTGACACTGGACCTGTCACCTCCTATCTCAGTCGTTCGATTAATATCAGTTGCTTCTAGTTCTCTGTCTAAAATGGGAGGTTCCAGGTAAATAGGTTGTCTTAAAACGTATAAGACATACGGCCCAGCTGGATTGTACCCGTAGTCTTTCAAGAGTGGAGGTTCAATCTTGATCTTGGATTTGGCGAAACTCCCGGGTTCAGTATGGTAGAGTAAATAGCTCCCCACTGAGTGGTGTGAGTCATTCATCTTATCGATTTACAAGAAAGGTGCTGAATACTTTTGTGAAAACCACAGAGGAATTAGTTTGATGAACCTCGTCTCTGAGCTTCTTACTGGTATCATAGTCCGTCGATTGTCTGCTGCGTGTGAAGGGTGCACGTGCGATAATCAAACTGGTTTTGCACCCGGTCGAAGTTGTACCGATCACATCTTCACTTCGCCAAATTCTGGAGCATCGACAATCCTCTTGTAGACCCACCATCTCTATTTTTCCGATCCGAAGCGGCCTTCTACTCAGCTGATCTATAATCCCTGACGCTGCCTCTGCCTGAATAGGGTGCCCAAGAAGTTTATTTCACTTTTGTGATCTCTCTATTTATTATTAATATTATTTCAATACTTAACCAATTGCATAGAACTTGTAAATGTGCCATAACATACAGAAAAAATCTGTAGAATGTGTTCATAGGTTGTGTGGGCATGTCACTTCCCGGTTGCCCTGATTTTTTTTATTTTTTTTTATTACGCACCTAGGTGTGATGAACAGCAGATGGGGTAAACCCATAGTCACGTGGACCTGCTGTTCAGTGGTTGAAATCGGCAACCTAAGCCCCGGAACTTGGAGTGGTGAAACACATAAGGCCCCGATAAGTTAGGCGTGGTATTGAACCGGACGACAGCAAAGCTGCCTACCACCAAAG